CTTTTCGTGGTAGAGCACGGCGTTGAAAGTGTTCTTCTTGCCGCTGAGCCAACCCTTGCCGGAGTAATTGATTTTGGCGATGTACCCCGTGCTACTGGCGATCATGGTCGATCTTTCCAATTCCATGAATGGTGTACCGTAGATGAGGGACTCGACATGCAAGTATGGGAGTGTGATGAGGTAGCGCTCCTTCTGGGCCGGATCGTTCTTGTCCGCGGATGGAGGGGTGATTGTCAGCAAGGCATGGCCGATCTGCTTGATTTGAATGGTGTTGGAGAAGGATGCCTTCTGCGCATTGTATCCTTGTAGCTAGCGAGAATATCATTGTAAGATTCTAGTCAATTACATCCGTACGCTTAATTTCTCTTGACTTACCTCAATACCGTGCTTCTCGTTGGTGATCGCATACGCTGTGGCAGGGGGGTGGTGGCTGTTATGGGTCAGTACCGGGTCGCAGCTGAGACCAACTAAGGAAAAACGAACCTGACTTGCTCGCTGATCAAGGTAGTCTCCCCGGCGTCCGGGTCTTTTTCCCACTTGCCGAGGAAAAGCTCACCCAGGAAGGGGTTTAGAGGCTTCTTCTCACTGCCCAGCTTCTCACTGCGAGAGCAGTACTGTTGACGCAGCGTGCTGAGAAACCATTTCAGAACAGCCAACGCTCGCTTCTCAGGGTCAGCTTCTTTGGCCGCAGCCACAAAGAGACTGGGATGTTCAGCCCAGTAGGCAGAGTATTCCGTCAAAGAGGTGCCCGAAAGAATGAAGGGAGGAGCGGTTAACGAGGAAAGATCTCCGTTGAAGGAGGCGATCGACTAGCAGAACATCAATGTTAGTTGAACCAATTCAACCATAATTTGTCTAAGAAGACATAAGAGCGAAACGTCAGAGTCAGAACTCACCTTCAAGAAGCTGGACCATGACCCTTTGCTTGCAGGGGGAATGGCAGACTGTGGATCCTTACTGGAGCTCATGTTGGGTATACCGCTGTCTGTGTGACAAGAAAACCACGTAGTCCAAGAAGAAAACTCAGCAACCGCTAATGGAAAGATTATTTAGAAACTAAGAGGAAGTAAGCTTGAGTGGGGATGAAGAAGGAAGAGAGCCTCCTACCAGAGACACCGAGTCAAAGGAATTAATTAATTGCTTGCTGGCGAGTTTCAGAGGGCACAAGTTACAACGACTGCCAAGAGGGGAGTGGGCTGCGACGTCATGGTCATTTTCCGTAACTTCAGCGGTCGAACTCTTGCCCCGCATGCAACATCACCAATAACAACATCCTCATCATCATTCTCATCTCCGATCTCAGCATCTCAAGATGCAGACATCGACCAATGAGTGCTTGCAGCTGGTCCTCCCGCCACTGTGTCGACCTTGGCAAACGCATCATCTATCTACGCCCCTTTCTCGGGGGGAAGCGTACCTCTCTACACTGAAAGACAGCAGACATCAGTGGCTGTTGGTGGCTTAAAACTGACAAGTTAACAAGCTATCTTATCTGATGACTTGGCGACCTGTTTCTGCTTCAATCAAGGGCGACGATACAGCATAACTTGGACTGCTCGGAAAGCAGATTCAGTCACAAAAGGCCTCCCTCCAGCTAAAAGCATCTGATACTGATGTTGAGGCTCATAATGTCCAGTCTGTTTACAGATTCGAGTCGATGAAAGGTCTGCTGAAAGTCTTACAGCAAAACTATCACCATCAGATTTCGGACCACTCAACTTTCCCTGATGAGCTTCACTGCCCAGGGATGCCTAAGGATAGTTGAGAGAGTTAACACCGAGGAACAACGGAAGCGGAAGCGGAAAGCCTCGTCATTATGGAACAGTGAGATGCTTGCTACCTTACTCCCTATTTACCCTTGCTTCTCAGCTCCAGTTTGCTACCCTGCCTGCTACGGGTCCGAAGATCTATCATCAAGTAAAGAACCAATCGCAGATGAGCATATTAGAAACCAGATGGTCCCTGTTTCAGGAGTCAGGACTCTCAGGTCGATCGGTTTCTGGAATGACCTCCCTGAGTCGCTTATCCCTTGGTTGATCCACCAAGGGTGATCGCCAAGGTTGATTAGGTAACGGATGCTCAGAATGCTGAACATCTACTCCGTACCTCTCTATGCAAAGGAGATATCTCATTATTGTCAATCTGCCCCATGGTTTATTGTCGAAAACAAGTCATTCAAATTCCCCTGCTTCTCCTTTGCTGACGGAATGTACGCTTCCGTCCATTGCGGTTCCTTGGCCACGAGATGATCGCCGACAGGCGTATCTGTACGCCACACAGGCTCCAACCGGAGCTTAATGCATCTCTTCTCAATTGAAAGTATGGTGTAACACTATGCAAGCTCTCTATGAGATGATGCGTATCACGCGTTCCTTGAGGATCGGCCTTATGCGATTTACCAGGGCTGCTGTTGGCCACGCACCAGCCCCGTTGTTCTGCGTTGTCGATCATGTTTCCACTCCTGGCCAAGCTATAGGCATTCGGGCCCTCTCCCGAAGCATATAGCGGCCCATCAACGTATCCACCGTTTGAGAGGATCATTGGGTCTCTGTTTACCTCAGTCGTCTCTGCGTGGGTCGAATATTATAACATATTTGAGAAAGACTGCGTAGTGCTTCCAAATCGAGCTACTGAGAGCTTCTGAACCTCACATCCCTAAGGACTCTAGCCATTGCGTGCTTCATCAACGTGATGATGGTCGGGCTGAAAATTGAAGGCATTGCATCGCGACGCGTAATGCTCGATGGTCTAGGTGGCAGCCGTCTGAACAGTACCCCTAAGGTCATGGACTGCACATTGCGTCAAGATGCTTGACAGCTGTTGCTTGTACCTTTGTTTGCCGTGGCGAGGTCTCCCTTTCCATATCTTTCCTATGGGTTGCGCGTCCTTCATGTACTCAAGGACCCAACCACCCTTTGGGTCTCCCGGACATTTGATTGTCTCACTTGAGATGCACACAGAAGCCTTCTTCAATATATCGAAGTCAATTGTTTGTGACCAGAAGATCGAACGCATTTGTTCCAGTACTTGCAAGACTACACTGTCTCAATCCCTAAATCGCCGTGCACAATGCTCGGGGTACTTTGGTCCAGATCAGAAGACAGAACCATGTCTGACAGTTACTCCCTGAACTCTTCTACAACCCAGCTGCCCGTAGAGGGCCCTCAAGGGGCGAATTCGCCTTATAGCTCGTTTCCTAGCTCACCTAAGACCCTTGTTCAAGTACAAAGTCACCTTGTGAACCATGACAGTTCAACGGAGACAGATGAGTATGAGGAGGAAGATGCAGAGCAATACCTGCGGTTCTCCCCGTCTCGGAAGATAGCCATCGTGACTATTTTAACATATTGTGCTTTCCTTACACCCATTTCTTCAACTGCTATCCTAACCGCTGTTCCGGAACTTGCAACGACATTTAGAACGACAGGAGACGTGATAAATGCCAGTAATGCGCTGTATCTTGCGACTATGGCCGTCTCTTGCTTGTTTTGGGGTCCTCTCAGCCAGGTATGGGGTCGTCGTCCTGTAAGTGTGCCCGAAGCAACCTTTGCAGCGCTGTCAGTTCACTGTCTGACTGCAGCTCCCTACAGATATTTATCCTAAGCGGGCTGCTATTTTGGCTCTCCACGGCCGCCACTGCCTTATCTCCCAACCTTCCTGCATACTTTATATTCCGAGTTCTCACTGCCCTACAGGGCACGTCATTCCTCGTGGTGGGAAGCTCTGCAATTGGGGACATCTACGAGCCTCGGGCCAGAGCCACTGCATTGGCATGGTTTCTATCAGGAAGTATGACGGGACCTGCTCTGGGTCCATTCCTAGGGGTGAGCTTGTACCTAATGATAAGAACATGGAGTCTACCTAGTCGCTAACACGCCTCGTCGAACCCAGGGTATTGTGGTCACATTCAGGCACTGGAGAGTCATCTTCTGGCTCTTGACCGCACTGACCGGCTTCGCCGTCCTGTTAATCACACTGTTCCTCCCAGAGACCATTCCGTACACATCAAAGGCCGAGCTTGCGGGCCACAGTCATCCGAAGAGGATCAAAATGCTGTGGCAGCGCATCTCACCCTTACGTGCTCTCCTTCTTCCCTTCTCCCATCCGAATATCTTCATTACCGGCCTAGCAGCCGGCGCTCTGGTCTGGAACCAATACGCTCTGTTGACGCCAATTCGATACGTTCTCAACCCCCGCTTTCATTTGTCCAGCCCAATCCAAGCTGGGCTCTTCTACCTTGCACCAGGCTGCGGATACCTGGCCGGCACCTTCGTGGGCGGCCGCTGGGCCGATTACACTGTGAAAAAATACATTAAAAAACGCAATGGGCAGCGCGTGTCGGAGGACCGACTCCGGTCCTGTCTCCCATACATCTGCATCGTTACACCAGGCTGTCTCCTGGTCTACGGCTGGACACTCGATCGAGAGGTTGGTGGCATCGCGGTGCCCGTGGTAGCAATGTTCCTGCAGGGCGTGGCGCAAATGTTCTGTTTTCCTAGTCTTCAATCCTACTGTCTCGATGTGATGCAACCGCATGGCCGCAGCGCGGAAGTCGTCGCCAGCAGTTACGTCTTTCGATACGTGTTTGCGGCACTGGGCACCGGCGTTGTCTTACCTGCTACTCAGTCGCTTGGTGTCGGGTGGTTCAATACCATATCTGCCCTGTTTCTGGTATTCGCTGGTGTCCTGGTTTGGTTGACAGTTATCCATGGCCCACGGTGGCGGGAAGCTGCTGATTTGAAGTACTCCCAGAAAGCAATTGAGCAGAAGCAGGCTCGGGCAGAAGCATGAACTAAGCATTTGTCGATACAATAATGTAGTATAGATATAGACAGGATATAGAGCGCTCCACTGGAGTATTGGCAGTTAGTATAGAATGTGTTAGCTTTACTGAGTTATTATATATATTTCGTCTCACTGGTATCCAATTGGTCAGTGCATCATTAGGATTCCCTTGATACAGCTGTATGAAGTGACCTCCAACCGTCTAGAGCAGATCATCACTCCCGCGATGGACCACCTCCCTCTACACCCGTCGCGATACCACCCGAGCCCTTCAAGACTTTATCTCTGCTCAGGCCCGTTTCGGCAGACACCCGCGCAATCTTCCGCGCCTCCGCGAACCGCCTCGCATCAGCGCGCCCTTTCTCCACATCCACAAAGGCAATCGTAATCATTGCCGCAGCACAAATGGCAAACAAGAACGGGAACCCCATCCAGTTATTCTGCGTATCGTTGATAATGGCCTGAATCACATTGGGACCGATGATGGAGGACTAGACCGAATCAGCACTCTACTCTGTTCTATTTATCCTATTGGTAGGAGATAGGGGGCAGGGATGTATGTAGGCAGCCTGCATTGCGGGAATGATTGCTTGTTGCTTACAGCTCGATTTGTGATGCCGAAGAGCGCGAAGAACATGTTATCGTAGCCCTGGGGCATGAGCTCGCTTATCATTGTTTGCGCGTACTACGTGTGCATTGCCCGGGTGGGACAGGTTAGCCTCGTTTCGAACGGGACGGGAGTTGTGGTACAGCGTACAGCGTAGTAGGGGGCTTGAAACAGGCCGAAAACGACATTGTAGAAGTAGAATTCCCACTGCGGATGATTGTGAGTTTGGAAGCTGAGGCGATTGAAGATGGGACACTTACTCGGTTATGGTACCCGACTCGCTGCGTCCAGAGTCCGACCATTCCCCAGAGTGGGATCAGGGCGCTGAAGAGGTTTGTGACTAGGAACATGGTCTTGGTTCGAAATTTGAAGTACTTTTGGATATACCAGAATCCGAAAGTCGAGGTGATTGAGCATACAGCCTGTGTGATGCCCAGATAAGTTAACTGCAGAAATGAGAAGGATACGTAGTCGTTTTGGATGATGGAAACCAAGGTTCCTGAAGAGATTGCATCAGCTTCGTTCATCTGGCCTGACCTTTAGGTGCAAGACTGGCTGCACTCACCGGTCGTATTTAGCCCATCGGCAAGCAGAAAGTAAGCGATGAAATAGAGGAATGTCTGTGGCAAAGACCGGACCTCTCTGAGCGCAAGCCAGATTTGCTTGAAGCCAATCGTTGCATAGTTCGAGCCCTTTGGAACCTTAGGGCCTGGCCGTTTCTGCTGGAAGATGAACCACCATACTCCTAAAACCACCCAGTCTAGCAGCCGTCAATTTGTGGTATGCATTAGTTCACAAGATTACTTACATGAGTTTGTCAAGCAGAGGGCGAGATTGTTCGAATACGTATTGTTCTGTAGGGGAAGCAAAACACTCAAGTTCAGTGCGAGAGTGAACAAATATCCAATATTGCTGTGGGCAGTCGATATATTGCTATTCCGCTCATAAGCATTGCCCTATGAATGGGCAATGGAACCATACCTGATATGGTTTCTCTCCAAGGATTCAATTGCATCATACTCTTGCCGACTGATTTTGCCCTCCTTCAGATCCTCTTCACGAGCTTTGCGGACGTGCGGCATGTATCGAGCAAGCCTGGGAAACACAGCTGCATAGAAAACCAAAGTAGCTCCGTAGGCGATGTATGCCACTACATACATCGCCATAGCGGCAGGCCATTGACTCGGGTGCCTGATCGCCATCATGCCATACTGAAGAGCCCAGCACACTACTGTCAGTGCCAGCAGAAGCCAACGACCAAACGATCCGTAGTCGGCCGCACTGCCGAGCCAAACGAATATCACCGTCATGAAGGTAAAACACAATCCATTAGCAATCAAGACCACGGAGGAGACGGACCGCGTGCCTCCAGCCCACGAGACAACACAGGGAGAGGAATCTTTGCATGGTTGACGCGGATTAGTTCCCGGTTGCCAGCCTGCCCCGTTCAAGGCTGACTGAAAGCTTCAACGTAGATGTATTAGCTGGGGTCTAATGTGGTTACAGACGCATTCTTCATTACAGTGCTTGACTATAAGAACCCGGACCAACACCATTGTCACCTGAGCAGAGCACGAGATGTCTTGTCAGTAAGTTCTAGCAAAAAGAGCCAAAGGCAATACCGTTGTAGTAAAGATAGTAAGACCATAGTTCTCTTCGCGTGGTTGTTGGTTGTTCATATGAATGTTCATCCACACCGAACAGCCGTTCGAAGTCGTCGCGCGTTGACTGGACTTCTTGTGCAGTCATTGTAGCTTTTGTATTGCTTCTCTCATCACGTTGCCTGCCATCGTCGTGATCAGTGTCATCGATTAATATACTTGGTTGATTGGACGGACGACCATTCAGAGACATGACGACAATGGCGTAACGACTTCCAGCTGCATTGATCGATGTTAGATGCTGCTTTTTAACATCAGAAAAGAGGCGAACCGACCTTATAAGCCGGGATTTCGCCCATTAAGTTGAAATATCGACAGATCATCACCGTGATGGGAGAAAGTGTCAACGCCAGCGGTGGTTGATGGCCAATGCTACCCCGCATCTACTGTTGCATTCCTGGAGGCAATCTCGCATCGTCTCCTGATCTTCGGCCCCATTATATTGGTTACTCGGACCAAATTGAATCCTTCACGACGCTAACAAAGACTTCCAACAGGCACTCCGCGGTAAACCCATAGTGTCAACACGAGGAGAGAAGAATCGATTCGAATATCAGGGCAGTTCGTCTGAAACGCGTCAGGTGTTCTCCGCACCCTTCTCCACCATCGTCTCCAGCAATTGACCTTCATGCTCCATTCAAATTCATAGACAAGCTGCTATAAAAGTTGTCGTTTCTCATTGATCTTGTTTCTCCTGTATAAAATGGTGTATATTCAACACTAGGAGCTGGATTGAGAGGATTTCAACCCAAGTAACCGAGATAAAGCTTCACCCATTTGCAGTCGCAACGATCTGAAAAGATGCTGCCAGAAGATTTACAGAAAAAAGTTGGCCAGGTAAGGTCACTATATTGACGTCTAGATAATCAATCACTAGATTGACCTGACGATGCTTGTTAGCTTTTTGCGGTCGGCTTCCATGGTATTGTACCGAGTCCAGAGATCAAGACTTTGATCCACGAGTACGGGATAGGTGGCATTGTCCTGTTCAAAAGGAATATTCAAAATGCAATGCAGCTCCAGGTATGTATGACAGCAGCCACCCCGATATCCCGACCCCAACGAAGAAAGGACCGCTGATCCCGGTACAAGTCTCTCACTCTGGCTCTGCAAGAGGAAGCTAGACTGGCAGGACACGAATATCCTCTCTTTATAGGAATTGACCAAGAGAACGGACTGGTCACCCGGATCTCACCACCTATTGCTGCTCAGTTACCCGGACCAATGGCCCTTGGAGCCACCCATTCGCCAGAATTGGCGTATCAGGTTGGCCAGGTCACCGGTGAGACGTTGAGGTTCTTCGGGATCAACATGAATTATGCCCCTGTCTGCGATATCAATTCAGAGCCCTTGAATCCAGTCATAGGCGTCCGGAGCCCCGGAGACGACCCGGAATTTGTTGGTCGGTTTGCAAGCGCTGCTGCGCAAGGACTTCGAGAACAGAAGATCATTCCCAGTGTCAAGCATTTCCCCGGACACGGAGATACTGCGGTGGACTCCCATTATGGGCTTCCAGTGATACAAAAGACAAGAGAGCAACTGGAGAGATGCGAGCTGATCCCCTTCCGTCGAGCTGTGGCAGAGGGTGTTGAGGCAGTGATGACTGCGCATATCTCCTTACCTGCCATCGGTGACGGCAAACTGCCTGCCACGCTCTCCGCTGATGTCTTGAGCATTCTCCGCAATGAGATGCAATATGACGGGATGATCATTACAGACTGCCTCGAGATGGACGGGATTCGAGCCACGTACGGTACTGAACAGGGAGCAGTTCTCTCCTTGGAAGCCGGTAGTGACAGTATCATGATATGCCATACATTTGCTGTCCAAGTAGCCTCAATCCAAAAAGTCTGCGAGGCCGTACAGTCTAGTCAGATATCAGCTTCACGTCTGGACGAAGCATACCGTCGCGTGGTCAAGTTGAAGAGCAACTTTCTAAGCTGGGATACAGCGCTCCTAACGCGGAATCTCGATGATCTGGTTACGTTGAACAGGAAAGCTGCCACGCTTGCAAACAACGCCTATTCACTTTCAGTTACCCTTGTCCGCAGTGATCCTGATGTCTTGCCTCTATCAAAATCGGGACACCTTATACTGCTGTTCCCAGGGGAAAGAACCCCTGCAGGAGGTGCAGTCGACGGGGAGGGTTTAAGGATGAAAGGAGCTTACGATGCCACGGTGTTCGGCGAGGTCTTCAAAGCCCACAATCCAGCAACTGTTGAGCTTCACTACGGCTCCGCAGGACTATCGACTGAGCAATACAAGCTTGTCGAAGCTGCTGATGCTGTTGTTCTCATCACCTTCAACGCACGAGAGTCGCCCTTTCAGAGAGAGATGGGCCTGAAGCTCGCTCAGCACACTCGAAAACTGGTTACCATAGCCGCTTGCAGTCCTTACGACTTTTTGGACGATGACAGCATCAAGACGTATATAACTACCTACGAGCCGATGATTGAGGCTTTCACGGCCGCGGCAAATATTCTTTTCGGTGCCATAATCCCAAAGGGTGCCCTACCGGTTGGATCAAAGAATGTCGCGCTGGGTTCTATCCACGTGTCGCCATTCGAAGCCGCAAGTGATCTGACTGAACTGGTGGAAGTCTGGAATACTGCCCTGCCGACATATCCACTACCAGCAGACAGTCTTAACAGATTTTTGACCCAGGCCAACGGACATCACTTCGTTGCTCGACTAGAATCAAAGATCATTGGCTTCTGCGTCATGTATATGACAACTAACCGAGGCACGACGTGCTGTCAGCTGGCTGTCCTCGCAGTCCACCCCAGCTACCAACGCCAGGGTGTGGGCACAGCCTTGATCGCAGAAGCGCGGACGTGGCTTATGAAGAATTACAAACCATGTTCCCTATCACTTGGAAGCTCATTCCCACGGTTCTGGCCCGGTATTCCGACCGATCTCGGGCAAGAAGTACAAAGGTTCTTCGTTCACCGCGGTTTCCGTCTCAACCCTCTGATTCCAAGATCTGTCGATCTGTACCAGGATATCAAAGATTTCCAGCCTCCAGAAAAGTACGTCGCGCGTGCTAAAGAGCGAGGCTTCACTTTTGCCCCTCTTCAGCCCGAGCAGTATGAAGAGTGTTTGGCCGGCCAAAAGAAGAACTTCTCCTACAATCCGGTGAGTACCCGTTCCCCGTCTCCGATCCTACCGACTCGACACTGACCCACCCAGGCCTGGGTCGACATGTATCACAAGCTCGATCCTAAAGAACACCCCTCCAGCATCATGGCTGCGTTCGACTCGCACGGGAAACAGGTAGGTTGGACGCTGATGCTGTCACCGTCGTCGCCGGTCCTACAGCAGAACTGGGCCCTCCCACCCCTCTGTGGGCCCAAGACCGGGCTGATCGGCTGCGTCGGAGTCGATGAAGAATATCGTAAGGCAGGAGCCGGACTTGCTCTCCTCTGCCACGCGATCGAGGACATGAAGCAACGTGGAGTCGAAGGAGTCTTTGTGGATTGGGTCAGTCTTGAGGGATGGTACGAGCAGCTTGGGTTCAAGATCTGGCGCAGCTATAGGACCGGTCAGATGTAGTCCTGAGTCCTGACTGCAGTCTAAATGAACGTGGTGCACCTACTTAGAATTGTCCCATGTCTAGAAAGTTGTGTATATACAATTACTATATACCAGGCTCTCAGAAATCTCACCCCCTGTCCCCTAAGAACCTCCAAGAAATTCCACTTATAGTCGACAGCTCAAACCAAATAGAAATCTAAATTCACTAACCCGATCTTACCTCCAGGAGCAACAGCCGGTTCCGGCCCTGATCCTCTAAAAGTTGTCTGGACATTCACAAATTCAACAGCCGGCCACGGAATCCAGGCATCAACAAGGCGGTGCAGCCTAGCGAGTCCCACACAAGTTTCCGAGAGTAATCTTCCGAGACGCCAACACCAACTCTCACTCTCTCGGAACTCTCACTCACCGCCTAACCCACCTTTTGACTGCGAGCCCTATCAGCGTCCGTTCAGAGGCTCAGAGCACTGTGGTACAGTGTGCAGGATTGTCCACCTATGTCCGACTCGTCAAGCAAGGCATGTCTGAGTAACCTCGCTTTTTGCAGACTGGCTGGTGTCGGACACCCGAAAATTGAGGCTCTCAAAATCTGCCACGGGCGTAGGTGGATAATCCTTACACTGTACCACAGTTCAGACTTCAGCATGTTACAACAAGGTACGAGAAGATTGTTCTTCTAAGTCTGAGCTGCAGTGATCTTTTTTGACCAAACTTGAAACTAATCAGTCCTTGGTATTCAAACTACTTAGACTTCTCTCTAAGCTGCACTTAGAAACAACGAGATCAAATGATTCCAATCGGCATAAGCTCGAGTCATATCTTCATGAAAGCCCATGTGGCACAGTTTCCCTCCCCAAAATTAGTGGTTACAACCGCACCGCGGGAACGGGATGCCAGTGGCATTTACATCTCAGTGTTGGGTGAGACGACCTGTCCACCGCCCTCTCTGCTCGCCACCTTCTCGTCGTGAGCGGTCAGGTCTAGCTTGTACAAGGGCTCAAGCTTAACATCACGACGGAAGATGTAACGCTGGATCCACCAAGGGAGGACCTTGAAGCACTGGTAATGCATGTGCTTTGTGGTGGGGACCGCAAAGATATAATCAAGTTCCTCCAGGGTGCGTTGTTTCGTTTCCGGCACCCAGAGGAAAATCATGACCAGAGCTGTGACATTGAGCCCGCTGCACATTGGTTAGTGATACCCACACATCTGAGAAGCAAAAACTTGAGATAGGACATGCACTTACGCATAGAAACAAAAGGCGCCAGTGGGGGTCATCACAGCAAGCATGCGTGGGAACGTGATGGACAAAACTGCGGCCCAGCCGAGGCAAGTAGCGACCGCCCAAGACATTCCAACCTCTGTGACGGTAATTAGCTGACGAGTGCCACAGAAGAAGCGAAATGCACACTTACCACGATGGGAGAGAGGGAAAACCTCTGCAGAATAAGTGAATGGAACGGGTCCTTCGCCCGGAGAATAAAATGCCGCAAACAGGAACACGAAGAGTGCGATACATGCCAGATGAGCTTTGGAATCCTCCGGAATATAAAAGCAGAACGCAGCTGCGAGCAGAGTCCAAGCCATCTGAGGGAAAGTGAAAAGAAGAAGGGTGCGACGTCCGAAAGTGTCGATGGTGAACACAGCGGGGAAAGCGAAAAGGAAGTTGACCAGACCGAAGCCCCAAGAGGCAAAAAGGGCTTCGGTGTTGCTGGCACCCGCTTGAGCGAAAACCGTCGAGGAATAGAACGCGACAATGTTTATTCCGCACATCTGCTGAGCAATCATGACGACAAACGAAGCGAGGGTGGCGCGGCGGACTCGTGGGATGGTGAACAACTCGACGAAACGGGTAAGATAGTTGCCCTCTCCAGCGATCTCTTGCTCCACCTTGATCTGCGCATAGATGTAGTACAGGTCGCGGGCAGCTTGCAGGCGGGAGTTGCGCAGTCGGCAGAGAGATTTGAAAGCAGCCTTCAAATTACCTTTCTTGATATACCAACGAGGCGACTCGGGGCAGAAATACACGCCAACAAGCAGTGGAATGGCAGGAATGAAAGCAGAGCCAAACTGCAACCGCCAGGCGATATCACCAGTACCCTTGACAGCCAGATTCGCAGAGAAACCGAGGAATATGCCAAAGGCCGTCCACAGTTGCCAGCACATGACCAAGCCTCCACGCACGGAAGCAGGAGTGTTCTCTGCACAAAAAATCGGAACAGTGGAAGCCTTCAGGCCCATTCCGAGGCCGAGGAGCAGACGAGTAACGAAGAGCTGGGGCCAAGTCTGAGCTACAGCGCTGCCAATAGGGGTAAGCACGCAGAAGATCGCGGAGATGAAGATTGCACCACGACGGCCGAGGAAAGCATTACAAGGATCGGACATCCAGCACCCAATGGCGGCACTGGCAATGTACGGGCCGCTAGACATGGATGTTAGCCAGGTCTTGATGCAACTGAAGGACTGGGACTACTGACGCGTTTACTACACCAACCAACCACTGATTCTTCTCAGCGTCAGGGTTGGGACTTCCATCCAGAAGTTCGGCGGTGTCAGGAATACCGAGAGCGACAGGGAAGGAAAGATTGGCACCTGCAAAACAGGAAGGGCAGCATTAGCAACTAATCGACCGGCCGAATGAAGACCTTATCCTTACCGTTACTACCAGTCTGGTCCCATCCTCTGAGAGAGAAATGCGCGTTAGTGGCTGTTCATGCACAAAGGTCGCAGCGATTTGACTTACTGGACAGCGGCGCCGATGGAGCAAAGAACGATGGTGAAGTACAGAGCAAAAGGCTGGCGCCATTTGTGCTCTGTTTCATCACGGATCGCGGTGAGCTCCGCTTCAGTCATATCTGGGACTGTCTCGAAGTGTTCAGGATCACGCGCGACGAGGGCACCCTTCTTCAGCTCCGGGAGAATGTCGACTAGGTCATGCTCGTTCGCAAACTCCTCGACATCGCGAATAACCTGAGAAGGAGTCAAGTCCGCCAGAGGATTCTTGATCCTACACAAGAAATTGGTCAATGACCAGTGCCAGAGGAAACGACCCATGAGGCAACAGCAGTTCGTGAGGGGTAGACTCGAGACTCGACACTTACTTAGCAGAGAGATTGTTGTTCAGATTGATGTGCTCGTGATGGCCAGTTTCGAGCATTCCATTATCGTCATTGATGCTGTCGTCACGAAAGTCGATGTCAGTCAGGAGTCACAAGCTGGGCTGTATAGAAACTTGGGATCAGGGAAAACCTACCGCTGCTCGACAGGCGCATCAGCGGTTGCGATATGAGCAACCTCCTGCTTTGGGCCTCCGTCTGCCATGGCAAACTGAGACTATGACAAGGAGCTTGTTGTTGCTTGTGATTTATTGTGTGAGTCTTCTTTCTTATTTCGAATTGGAAGAGTTGGGCCTGTAGCTCAGGGGATGCGGAGAAGGAAAGGAAGAGAAGGAAGGTGCGGGGAGGGACGAAAGAAATAGTGGAGGGAAAAATAAGAAAAAAGAAATATGGAAAATTAAGAAAAAAAAAAAAAAATAGAAAGAAAAAAACATAGAAGAATATTACCCATATTCACAAGATAGTTCAAAGAAAAAGAAAATAAAAAAGAAGGCTGAATCCACCAGGAAGATCACTGACTGAATATTCACAAGCGCCTATCCAATGGCGTCACTACCAGATTTACTTTACGCCTGGGCAATTCACGACTGCATGCATCTTTCTCCTGTCAGATATACAGAAAGTACCCACTTCTCCTATTGGTCCTCAAGGGCCGAGGATTGTACTCATAGTACACTACCCTGGAGGTATCATGCGGCCTAGAGTCAGTGGCTGCTCGTTGAAGAGCCATTGCCGCGACTAACTCCTTCGCTTGAGAGTTTACTCAGTAGTATCAATGCTTTCCACTAACAGTCTAACACTACCAGGACATCATCTGTTCACCGGAAGAAGCCTGAGCTTCAAGGCCTGAGCGACACCGGTTGTTCCCTTGGCGTGGACGATCAAGGATAAGATGTACGAGAAGGGACCGGAGACAACAAGCGAGTGTCCGAAAGCAGAAAGATTCTGGGTAAAGTCTAAATTATTCCATCTCTTTTCATTACAGCCATAAAGTCTGGCGATGACTACGGCCGCCTTCGTGTCGTAAGACGTGCCCAAAGAATGCTCCTAATTCGTCCCGTCAACCACGCGAATTGGGTGTGCCAAGGTGGAAACTCCCCACGGGTCCGAGAACTGCGTTAAGGCATAGTCTAATCCGGAGGTTTACTCATCAGGATAGTGCGGAGTGCAAGGCTACTGTGAGTCTGTAGTAGGTAATGCTGTCTCCGTCAGGCTTCGAGAAACAAAGTTGAAGGAATATTCTCCTGCACGGTCATCGCTTGAGTGACCATGTGTTTGGAGCCTATATTCCACCACAGCTATCAGCAGATTCATTGATTATCCGTGCTATGATTGATAGACGCCAGAGAGCTGAAACACCAAGACATTCCAGCTGCCGGTCTTCGTCAAATTGAGCCTTGTTCTCGTTCTCACCCCCGCTTCCACCCCATACGGGATCCCGTGTCATACCATTATTCCTTTCAGGCTGGAGGTGTCGCTGAGCCGATTGCCCGCTGTCTCAACTTCTCAACACTAAATGCACGAGCCAATCTCGAGAAAGCAAAAACGCCACTCTAGTTACTCGAGGGAATATCCTTGCCCAGAATTGCCAGGACTGGACAAGATCCTGGCCGTTTGACCAAGCGTTATTCGCTACTCTTGGCCGGTTCCCAGTCCCGCCCATGGCTAGTACGTTAAGCTAAGCCAAGAACAGTCAAGTGCGCTGGTCTAATGGGTCCATCTTGGCGGCCGATGTGACTTTGGGGAAGTCACGGACTCTCAGTCACGGAGTCACCGCCCAAACGCCCCCAAATCCCCAGCCCGAGAGCTTAAGCAAATAAGAAGATTGTGGTGGGCGCTGGTGGGGTCGGCCTGAGGCTTTGTTCAGACGCAGATTGCAACCCTCCTCTTTCGGACACCATTAAGATTAGGATCCCTGGATCTCTGTCCGCGTGGCCATGTTATTCCTTGGTAGATGCAATCCCTGACTCTACTCTGCTGTACAAAAGTTTGATCTTTTACTCCGTACAACGTACAACGAAAAGTCGGCTCAGAGCCTGGGACAATGTAACCCGAGAGACGAACTCCAGATCAGGAACCCGGAGAAAATCTGGGGAGTAAACCAGATTATGCTTTGGGTTTAGTCTTTCTATCTAGCACCCGCACATTCCAACGAGCACATGGTCATCTGCCTCCTTGCTGACCTTCCCCCTCTGGAATGTGGATAGGCTTAAAGAGACATTTTATTATGAACCCCACCTGAGGACAACTATCGACTCAAACGGACATCGCCGTCGCAATAATCTGATTGTGAATTCACAATCTCATGATTCACGGCCAACAAGCCACATTGGAAGAATGAGATCTGAGCACGTTCTCAGTTTTCCATCAAATTCACATGCAGTCTGCAAAGAGTTTGAATTTACAAAGCTCATCAAAAATGCTACAGAGTACTCTGAACAAGAATAATAATTATGATTAGTGTACCAGGCCATGAGGTTACAGCGCTTTTGTCCTTCGACTTTGGATACGGTCTGGCTGGCCGATGGAATTGAATTAACGCCATGTGGGGAATTTCCCCGTTTGCTTTTGCCTGGCCTGGTCTGGTGGCTGGTGATCGCCAATCTGTCATTAAACCTTTTCCTTATTTTCCATTTTTTGTTTTCATTTGCCCATACTTCACAATCTGGAGAATTCCGGTTAGTCCCTTTGTTCTGCTGTTTGCAGCCGATGAGAGATTCCAGCGACCCTGATCAGTGAATTCAGGACATATCTGTTCCCACAGTGGCGAAAAACCTACGAGACACTAATCCAGAAAGTGAGGCTTAAGCCATAGGTTTCCTGTCTGTATGGATTGCCAAGATGACCGACTTCGCAATTGCTTTTCAGAGCTTCGGTTGAATGCCCAATAACCATGCCCAAAGCCCCGGCCGGGATGTGGTACAGAAACCGAGACTCCGTTCCCTAGGCAGCATTGAGGTTTCAATGCTACACAATCTCAGCCGAAAACTTTAAGATGAACCCGAACACGACATATCCCGATATCTCACCCGAGTCACGTTGAACAGCCGGGTCAGACCGTGGCTAAAGTCGCACGATGATGAACTCGAGGCTAGTCAAAGAAAGATAAAAGTACTCTGAGTCAGATGCCTGCAATACTGACCAGGGTAAGACTGCATGCTGATCCTGCTAATACGGATTGTATGGTGCATTGGAAGGCTTACGTACTACTTAGCTGTAGTAATTGCTGGGCCTCTGAATGAACTGCGGCTTAAGTTTAAGCAAGCTCAATGGTGGATATCTATTCTAGTAAGTCTCTTTTGGAAGTAGTATGATAGTAGTATGTCAGGGTTTACTTCCGAGTAGAGGTTGCCGAACTCGACAATGATGATCATGGCCTTGTTCAATCTTAAGATCCGGCCTGGAGCTCTCCAGTCTCGATTCTTGAAGCTCAGTAGATCCCTTTAAAAGCAGGCCATTCGCCGTTCGACTTCAAGGGAATTTGCAATAATATATGCTCATGTGGGTTACAGTGTATACCTTGACAGTCATTAAATGAAGCGGTGACTACTAGACATCAGGCCTTATGTGTTTCATGGTTGCATGCTACCCTTGCCGATATCCAGTGATACTGAGGCAAGCTCATCTCGAAACAATATATCCTTGGTTCTATCTCTCTCTGGAGGTTTAAGAGACTCTCTCTGGTTCGTAAGGCCAAACGGTTAACAACGACCATGCCCATAAGGTTCATGGAGCCATATTTATTCAACTGCGCTTCAGCATAGATATTTACCCGGGAAGAGCGCTGATGCTTAGAATGGATCTCAGCTAGGTACGTCCTATCTATACATTGAAGCTAGGGTACTTATGGGGCTATGCCCTTTCCCTCGGTTTATTGTTGTTGTAATGACAAAGATTCTCCCAGAAGCGCAGCCCTACCTACTGAAAGTCTTCAATGCCGTTGTATTATAGCTGGGGGACTCGGCGTATCTTTCCTCACATTGTTTCCAAGGTCACTTCTTCGTCAACTAGTCAAAGCTAAGGTTCAAAACTGGAAACTATCTATACAAAGCGGTCACAATCTTGGCCACTTGTTCAGTATCTGACCCATATACAAGAATGTTTACATCGTTTACTTTTCTCGAGAGACTACTTTGCTAGGACCATGGCCGAGATGTGAAACGATTCGGAAAAGGGTAATCGAGAAAGATGGTACTCTATAGGCATGTTTTATGCTTCATGGTGGCTCAACTACCTTCTGATTGTTGTTCTCCTTTTGAGTTATGATTAGTGACCGGCTTACGCAGCATTCGGATATCATTCGTGCTGTGGATAAGGCATTCTTCATTCGTTACATCTACTAACAGACGGAGATTGTATAGAGAACGTTCGAGGCGGATATTCTCTAGATCACCCTTTCACACCGCACAATACAGACACCCAGTCTTGTCCTCAAAGACGATGGCAAATATGGGACTCTTTAACGCTGTTACAGCGACCCTCCTCGCACTTCCTGGCGCTTTGGGTCAGATGTGTTATGTGTGGGGGACAAGGAGTATGAGCTGTCAATTTGTCATGATGAGTGCGGCATCCATTGATGGCAAAGTGCTATAAATGACTGAACCTTGCCTAAAACCTGCAGTGGAAAATCTTACACGCATATAGGTCGTGGCCGTGCTGTCCTCAGGTCTCGAGGATCTTAGTTCTCCATAACTAATTACCCGATCAGGCTAGATCTGCCCCGTGCTCCGTTCACGTGCAGCGGTTAGACATCCATCCAGATTTCCGAGATGCAAGATGGGTGTCTCAACTCCGAACGAGCTCAACCTCTATATATGATGTTATTATCAGTCTACTGTTAACTATAGGGCGAAATGCGCAGCTTATAATTGTCCTAAAATGAATTCCATCCAATCAGAACCCCCTCTCGTGGAAGATCTCCTGCACTCCGGAAAACCATTTGTCCCCTTTTCCGAGTTTCCGGTTCATGACATCTGTGACCTAAGTCACAAAGAAGCCAATGACTGGTTGGAACGCAAGTTGCAAGAGGAAAAGCCATTTATTATTCATGGCTTCGACAAGCTCGACAAATGGGACAAGCGCATTTTGAGCAGCAAGAGCCTGGTAGACCTGTCTTCCTCGGGATGTATGTCAACAATCGAACGTCACTGCTTTGATAAATAGTTGCTTACCTGGACTCATTGCTTGTAGCAATACCTGTGAGGAACTGTCAGACGGGACGAGATGTGCGTATGAAGCTTGCGGATCTCTTCCAGTTTCAGACGGACCATACGCGAAGTAACAATATCCGAGAATCGTATGTCGGCCGACCAGCTTCTAGATTCCCCAAAATACTCTAACTAATAGCCTATTCAGTTTATATGCAAAAGATCTTCAATGCCCAGAGGAGTGGGTTAAAGCTTTGAAAGCCATCTTACCATCATCTTTGCAACACTTGGGTTCTTTGGACTTGTTCCGAGTATTGCCCCGAGAAATTGCACCAGAGGTCTTGATGGCGTATGCCGGAACCCAGGGATCTTTGTACGTGGTCCTCTCGAATGCTGTATAGGATGCGTGGCTGACGCAACGAGTGTGTTTCTACAGTTCAGGCTTTCATAGATGCTTTAGCGGGTCAGTTGCTCTCAATCTCGTGATTGAATCCAAAGGTAAATGACTCGGAATCGGTAATGGGGCCATTTGGAAGGACAAACTAACTGTTCAAAGACCGTCGGTCAGGGTCGATCTGCTTCGGTACTGACAGACAATCGCAAACAAAATACGACGCTTACATGGAGGAATTGGGAAAGTCATCGCATACCGACTGGGCCAATGTCTCGATCGAGCAGCTACGATCAGCCAACTTTCCCATCTATGTTACCTATCAAGAACCTGGCGATCTGATTGTCTATCCATCAGCAACTTCACACCAAGTTTGGAACATTGCTCCAATGGTTACCAGGGTCGTTTGGAATGTCATGCATACGTCTTCCATAGCATCCTTCTTTGATTACATCCAGCCCGCGTATCAAAGGCAATGCCACACAGACACCGGCCGAGTCCCATTGATTCCGCTACATGCACTTAGAGATCCTACTGCCCTTAGCGCAAAGGAGCTGAAACTCCTTTTAGAGATCTTCGAGCGGCTGGTCGACGATGATGATGCGGGGCCAAATGTACCCGTAAAGCTTGTGGATACTCAAGGTGCCGTGGTGGAATGTAATTATTGTGGACTAACTATCTGGAATCGGCATTTGCATTGTGAGCAGTGCGGGGACTTCGACTTGTGCTTGCCTTGCTTTGTCTCTGGACGAAGTTGCAAACATATTACGGACTATACCTGGGCGGAACTGATTCCCAGAGAAAGTTGCCAGGCGCTAATCGATGCAACCCGAAGGAACGCTGATTTTCTATCCTCTTCAAATCCCAGAATAGCAGAGTAAGTATCTTGACTTTGAGACTCGTACCTCTGATCTTGGTTGAGAACTTCTCAGCGTGCTTCAAAGTCCCCACAAAGCTGACCAGTCATTCATAGGCAGAAATCACTGGGTCTTCTGGCTAGAGTTGCGGCAGATGCTCGAAGACAGTCTATGGTAAGTACGATCCCGTTCTAAGAAATCTGAGCTCAACAATTGACTGTTGCCAAGGAACGGCTTTGCCATCTGTGCCGGGACAACCATGCAGTGTGGAAAGGCATCACATGCTCCCAGTGCTCTGCGTTCTTCTGCTTCCGTGGTCTATACAGACATTTCGATATTGGTATCATTCCTTTGCTCCGAAGAGACGGTCCATGGGTGTGCCCCAAGTGTTCTCAGCTCTGTAACTGCAGATGTTGCCACTTTGCTCAGCCACATCAGAGTAAAGAAAAACCCGCCAGAGCCCGCATCAAGCCTGCCGACCCCCGAGGCCGGATCATGGGCTTTGTGGACAATGTGTTCGATCAGAAGAGAGGAAAGAGAGCCACCGCAGGTGCACAAGTGACGCCTTCGCAGATGACCGTCTCTCTGCAAGGGAGGAAACGTCCTAGATCAAACAGCAGCGAAGGCTTTGAGCAAGGACTGCTGGATTGCAGCAGGTTTTCTTGTACGAAGGACACTCAACCGCCTGGCATCATGAGATCAGGATCAGCCGATTTACGGAGCAGAGGTACTGCTCAACCGAATATCCATCTGGCCAAAGTGCATCCTTATGGAAATTCTTGGCCTAAAGGACAGCTTCGAATTTGTGACCTGGTCGAGAGCCGGGCTGAGAGTGCGGCGGCTGAAGGAAACTCTCGCAATCATACCACACAGTACCAACCAGCTGCACTTCCTGGGATATCGAACCGGCGCGATCACTCTCCAAGGGAAGACAACTATTCCCCCTCATCGACATCCACATCCACAAGTGAAGAGAGTATTCCTGTTTTGGAGAAGAGATTGGAGGCTCTTCGTCGATATGCGGATGATCTTCTCGAGCTCTCTTTGGTGGAGTCGCATGCTAAACTGCTTGAGAAGATCAGTGCATATGAAACCCAAATTGAGCAGATCAGAAGGCGAAAGGCCGAAAGGCTCTTCAGTAATTTGAATCGGGATTTCCCCGACCTGGCCAACGTAGCCATGGAAGAGGCGAGACGGCGAGGGCTATGAATTGCATACCATCATTATGGGAACATCTGACTACCCAACAGTGAGTTGGGCACAGGAATAATTGATCTCACTGACAAAACATGATTGTCGAGGGAAATAAGGAAATATATTGGTACATATCGTACTGTCAGCTCGCTGAAGCGATGACTGCGCTATATACCTGTGCAACCGCCTCATATCTGGTAAAGATGGTTAGATGAAACAAGCCGACCTTTGGCTGTAAAACACAAATGGTAGAAAGCATATTGACACCTTGTTGGTTTAATGATCAGACCGTGAGACGGGCATCTCAGCTCAGCCCACTCAACGAGGCTAACGCTCCTCCCCACCTCTGGAAGCGTACGAGCTGACCTCCTCAAGGACCCAACATAAATACTCACTGTTCCTTGACCAAATTATCATAAAACAATTCAGTTACGTGACATTCCAGGATGGATCCCATAGCAGCTACCCAGCTCGCAGCAGATGTAGCAGGCATCTTCCTGAAAATCGTGAATACTGTTAAGGACGTTATCGAGACGATGAAGGGGGCCAAAGAAGCCCTCATCGAGCTTTTGAGTCGCTGCGAAAGGGTACGATTGTATCTCGAGCTGTTTAGATCTCTCACCAGCCGGTTGTCTAACCCAGTTGAAAAATCCATATCACTATCGTTCAATGATAGTGCGTACCGCCAGACAGCGGACGAGATCCTGGGATTTGTTCACAAGATCGCGGATGCCTCGAAGCACTCCGAACTCTGGATGAAGTTCAGCTGGGTGTTCTACAAGGCCGATGTCACCGCGTTGGTCGGGAAGCTCGAGGCCCGCGAGAAGGACCTCAACCTTGTCCTTACTTTCATTGCAGCGTATGAGTCCTTATGGAATGTCCAGTGTATGAAGCTGACGTGGGCGCGACAGTCAGTCCAGTGTGGTAACTGAGAAAGAGATCATTACGATGAAGGGCCGTGCTGAAGAATGGGCACAAATCACTGAAGCTTTTGGCACGGCACATTTGGGCCAAGATAGTAATGAGTTGGTCGTGAAACACTCCTCCGAGCAAGGGAGAAAGGGACATGGCTCTCACCGTGGATCGCACAACAATCAAAGGCAAAGTGTGATACCAAGTCAACCTTCTTCCAAGTCAACGAAGCCAGCTCTGTGGCTTGGAAACGTCGTCAGGACAGGATTGGACCCGGCGTATCTCAGAGAGAGAGCTCGGCTGTCCGATGCAGCATATTGGGGAGATTGGCATCAGTTGTTGTCTTCACTGGACACAGGGAGACGCCGCTTTGGCGAGTCATGGTGCAATGCTTTTACTCTAAGTATGCGACTCCGCGGTCTGCATTGAGTGATAGCTGCTTAATTCTGGACAGGATCAGAAAACGATTCGCACCGACTGAGCCTATGGACTCCTTTGCACCAGGCGGCGTACATGAATGCGCCGAAGAAGGTGGTAGAGAAACTCATTCGATTAGGGGCTTTCAGTATGATCTCGTTTCTATATAAACTCTTCTAAACCTGTTGACAATGAGACTAGGAACCCTGCCGACTAAGAAAACCAAAGGCGAGTTTCGTTATCAGGATCTGACGGCCGTCGAAATTGCCCGTGAACTCGGATACTCAGATCTTTGGGAGATTCTAACTCCAGTCATCCGTCATTTCGTCCCAGCGAGGGTTCTAATGGACCTGGAACAAAAGTTCCACGAACTGATACACGCCGAACTGGCTGGCCTTGCTCATCTGAAGTACCTTCGCCTTCCTCAACTGGTGGTGTTGACCGAGCTAGAGAACCCGCAGATGTGGTTTCCAATTCAACCCCAGAGTCAGCACGGGAGAGTACGTCATCCAAGTGCGCATAGTTTGAAGCAAACTGCTGACTTTGACCTAGGGATTCTTGTTTCGTCTGGATGGTCGAGAACTGGTGGTTCTAAGTGTTGGGAGGAACCCTCCGCAGTCCAAGCAACTCTACCGTGTATCAGCAATATCAGCAACAGGATGGATTGCGATACATGATGCAGTCGTGTTTCGACGGTAGCTCTTTGAAATTGCTTGCTTGCAGCAGAAGTTTTGGGATGATATGCTGGTCATGTAGTGACCTGTCTTACTTGCATGTTGTATATATGATTTCAGACTCAGCGACTGATTCGTGAATAATGATCAACAACTGGTACCTCCATATGGACATATGGCCAATTCTTGGAATAACTGGTTCACCTACCGCAGCAGCAGAGCATAGGCTGCTGATGACTGATGACCACTTTAAGAGTTCCGAGCAATGACAGCATGGCCATGTAACTAGTCATAACCCAGTCTAGTATTTGAAAGTCCTGTCACCTGAAGGTAGTCTCATATTCTTATTGCAGTTCCATTGTTTTGCTGCAGTCCTTCGGCTCTTGGAGGTTCTCATGGGTATAGACAGGTACTTGAACCTGTTCCACGGAAAGCAAGTGGACAATCGTCATCGGGTGTCTCCACTGCGGACTCGCATCACCAACCTCGTTCACTGTTCATCACGGTCATCACCTGTCGAAGTCACTTTTTCCTCAAATTATCACATGTTCTTGTGGCTGGTACAGTGATCATTTGGACGGTATCACATCCACCGTCTGACAGGTACCGATACTTCCTATGTACTTGTGTTTGGTATGTTTGAACGCCATTCCACTACCCCTTCCTGCCGTTTCTCCGCATACAGACCAAGCCCTGACAGCAGCACGGTAGATCATCAGCGACCTAGCTGACTCCCAGGGGGTCGGTACCTTTTGATGTTTGATCAAGCATTCACCTCGACTGACTAGACGATCTATCCCCGTCAGCTGGAGATTCTGATCGAGTCACAATCATTGTTTCTTTATAAGGATTCGATCATTCCGGGGCGATCGGTGTTTGGGAGCCCAACTAAACACGCTTCGTACTATCTTGACCGCCTCCACAGCCCACATCCAAGCTATCGCTCACAGACGCACGATCTTCCCAACCATCTCTTTTTTCTTATTGGTTTTTTTACTTTCTCTCCCCTTCTACTCATTTTCATTGAGATTCCGATCTTCGTCTGCTTGGTCCTGGTTCTCGGGTCTCTGTAACGAGGTTCCCTTCTTCTGCCCTCATCCCCCCCTCCTCCCTCCCGTCATGCCATGCTTCAAGGGTCTGGCCGTGAGTATACACACTCCGGACGGCCCCATTCCCGAGTACTCCATTCAACGCCAGTCTCGGGCATCACGTATCGCTTGCTACATCCCCGTACCGCCGCCCAAGTTACCAGACTCCGCCAGCGGGAAACCTGAACAGTCGACCTTTGCCATTTCCATCACGCTGCTGAATCCCGGCCAAGATGTCCCGTACTCGACGCCGAAACCGACACCGGACAACCCCTCACCGAAGCCTAAGGTGGTGGGGGGCCTCCCCGGGCAGACAAGCGAACGCGGGCAGTACACCAGTGCCGTCGCGCCATATCAACCCTTGACCAACTCGCCGAATGAAACGGTCGCGGCGTATATTTACTTTGATGGCCGGCAGAAGGAAGAGGTCGCTACATTGCTCCGGAGAGGGGAGGAGACTTGGGTCAACTCACGGTGGGTTAGCGTGCCCGAATCCGAAGGAGGTGGGCTTGCCGAGCGGGAGTTTTTGTTCCGTGAGGTCGGATTGGAGAGATGGTTGAACGGGCTGGATCTGGAAGGCAAGGATGTCGCTGCCCGGATTGAGCGAAGACGGCAGAAGATGGAGAGACGCCGGCTGAAGCGTGAATCCACCGAGGGAATCGGTGAGATGGAGACGGACTCCAAGTCGGCAAAGGGGGCCAAGGGGATTATGCGGTACGGCAATGATGAGAAGTCGCCT